AACTCTAGCAGTATACAAGGTCTCACGAAGAGAATATTCCACCATACGGTTATTGTCGTAAAAAAAACCCAATGTTATGAATTATGTAGATGAAATTTGCCAACGAAAAAGGTTACCTTCCTACGTTAGATCTTTTGTCATAAGCGTCGTATTAGGCCTATGCATGATATATTTTAAAAGCCAATTAAATTTCGACAGATTGCATTTCCACGAGTTGATGAAATTCGCACTGAGCAAATTATTGTTGTATCACGGATGGTAAATATGCTCCGTAAGGTGCACTGCTCATCAAGTTAAAAAAAAAAGATCATTGGGCGTGATAAACGCTGGTATGATACTACAAATTGGGAAATGAAGTTTACATGTATGTATTTTCCTGCTATTGAACATAGTTTAAACATTGAATGCATGCTAGTGGATGTGAAAACTCCCCACTCACATTACAATTTCAGCTTGATCGTATCCTATATTCAGTTATTATACAAAATTGTTAAACGGATTTACTAAGGGTATTTTGCACTAAGTATAAGCAGATAGGCAAATAGAATATTGTGTGTGATGTAATATTAACTGTAATTCTGAAAGGGGGGGAGGGGCTTCGTTTTGATACTAATAATTTTTTTTTTAAAAGTAATCCTGGATATTTTTTTATGCTTAAGGGCTAGCTCATGAGTCATCAACAACGTCAAGCCTACAACGTAGAAGGGCAAGGTGGTTTTCTTCCTCGGCAGAGGATATTTGATTAGAAAAACGCCAAAGGCAAAACTCCATTCAGATATAGAAAGGCCATAGTTTTTTTTGTTGACATCCGCGACCGTCATGGGTTACATCAACCTGATTTAGTTGCATTTCCTCTGCCAGTGTTGGAAACGATGCAAAAGTAGAAAATTTTGCATTTATATTATCACCTGTGCTTTCAACAACAAGCAAAACGTGGTTATAGTTCCCATTTACTATTCATATTCGTATACCACATCTTAATAGAACCTGTGATATAAGGCCTGAAAATAGCATACCTCGAAACATATATATAGTGTAGCCACGTCATGATTGAAAGATTGCAAACTTGAAGGGGTTATCAACCTGGGACGTGTAATGTCATTGAGGTATTAATAAGTTCGTTCTTTTCCCCGAGCCTAAACCAATGATGTGGTCTTCGACTTTTTCCCCTGAGAGTTGCAAATTTCAAGTATTAAATAAGAATGAACATGCAATCACTAATCAATCATCTGTAAGCAATTACAACAGAGCGACCAATTTAAATTCGCTGCAGTCAGTTTACACAGCACACATCCGCCGCACGAAATACACTGGGGATCAGCGCACTTTTTTTCCCTTCCCGTTCCCTCGCGCATCGTGCGTGGTGAGCCTATCGTTTCAATGGCGCCAAAATACAACGTGGAGCTGGTTGCCAGGCAACGGTTGGCTGGGAAGGCCTCTCCATCCTGACCTCGATCTGCGCACGCACAGACGCACACTGCGTAGAGACGTGTGGGCTGGCGGACTAGAGAAGTGTGGTTAAAGAGTGACTTACTGTAGTTATTATGTATACAATTATTCTTATTGTCCTCCTGAATGTTTGTAATAACTGCATCGACATTGTTGGGATCCGGACACAATGCTCATTTTGACCAGCTGTCTGGGATTGTGAAGGGTATAGGCCTATTGTGGTTATTGAGGAAATTGGCTCTTGTAAGTCTAGGTTTTATTTTCAGCGTGCCCATCTATGCTGCACAGAAGTCACTTTATCCAGAGTATACATTTACAAGTCATTTAAAGGTAGAGTAGACATTTGCATCTATCCAAACAGTACGGTAACCGACCAAAGTATTGTTACAAATCTTACTTCGTTTAAAAGATAGTAATGACACTCCCTGTGAAATCGTTCCTTCTGGCATGCTGTCATCTTGAAAAAAAAAACCCCAATATATATATATATATTTTTAAAACAATAAACATTAGAAGGTATGTCAAGTGACATATTTTTGGAAACTTCCGTTGGCAGTTGGTTTGTAATTGGGCGAATCCCTGAACGGGTTTCAGCATGTTCACACGATGCACACGTACTCGATCAAGCGCGCGATTTATATTATTAGCGAGAATCGTCGGTGCAGCGTGTGACATCACGTATCAAAAAATAATCGCCTGAATGAGAATCATGCCCAAATGTTGATTTCAGGATTGTGTCATGACTCGGCATTTTAGAATTAAAATCAAGATCCAGAATATTGTGTTTTCTCGAAATATACAGCATTCACAAAGCAGAGGTGGCAGCAAGTCGTTTTTTGCAAGTTCAAGTCAAGTCACAAGTCATTGTTTGCAAGTCTAAGTCAAGTCACAAGTCATTAGGCCCAGTCACAAGTCAAGTCACAAGTCATTAGGTCCAGTCACAAGTCAAGTCACAAGTCATTTGGCATGTTTGGTCTAAACACAAGTCAAGTCACAAGTATCTTTGTTCAAGAACACGTCAAGTTGCACATTGTTTTGTTCAGCTTTAAAAAAGAACCTGGCGTTAACTTACGAGTTATTTTGAACATGCCTCCTTAATTCCCCTTTTTCAATGTGTTGCAATCACTATTCTTGTAGTTTATCACATATCCGTCGGATATTAGCCCTTTGTATACTTTAATAAATGTACTTTACATTGTAGAAATAAATGCTGAGATGACATGAAAAAAAAGACTTCACTCACTCGATTACATGTAGTATACTAACACTTTATTGTTCAATTTTCATGTATACTAAACGCCTATACCAATGGGTTAAGCTATCCGGTATTTTACATGCAATTGACAAAGGCATGCTTTCTTTTCATGAAAGGTTCCTTTCAAAGTTTGTTCAACCATTACATTAAGCAAGAGACTTGGTCTTTGAAAACTGTAGTTTGTTTGTGACAGTCTTATTGAAAACTTTTGAAACTAGTGGGAACTATTCATTTTACTGGATTCAGTTACTGAGGTCTATTTTCTGGCATAAAACTTTCTCGCTGCATCTATAAACTGCATTTATAAACACCTTGAGTGGCCTTTTGGGCCTTGTGATGGGCGACTTCAATTTAAAAAAAATTGAGTAGCGTCTGACTTGGGTTGGTAACAAGTCATGTTTTGCAAGTCCAAGTCAAGTCACAAGTCATTGTTTGCAAGTCCAAGTCAAGTCACAAGTCAAAGCTGGTATTTACAAGTCAAGTCACAAGTCACAAAAATAGCGACTCGAGTCCGACTCGAGTCCAAGTCACATGACTCGAGTCAGCAACTCTGTCACAAAGCCAACGCTTCAGTAGGTTAGTTGTTAAACAACCCTCTGTAGATTTTGAGCAGTTTTGTTGCTTCGAACGAAAATAAATTCACCAACGACGAATGGTCTATACTCTACCTTTAAGGAAGTTGTTGTCTATTATCTCGTTTGTGTGCTTGTTTGTCTGCGTTGTGGTTACTATCTGTAGGTTAGACTGTCACGTTCGCCGGTCAGTTTACCCACATAGTCGTTTTTATTTAAAGATCTAAGACATGATTATTGTGTTTAGAGAATAATTATTCCCATCTACTATTATTTACTTAACATAGGGATACACGCATTTCGGCAATAGAGACTTGTCTAATTGTTTTCTTGTGCATTGTTATATGGCGATATTGTATACCAGGTACGGGTTGGTATTACGGTCCCAATGTATTATTTTAAATAGAAAAACAGATATCTTTAAGACAACTCGGCTGTCTTCTGCATGACGTCTTAGAGAGTACAGACTGGACCTATATGCAACATCACAGGAGTAAAAGTGCATTAAGGTGATTCGTTCTGTCGCTTATAATTCTATAATAGAAAACAATTTCTACTCCGATATGACATTTTGTGGTAGGTGTTTTTATGGCGGGTACTTCGATCAACTTATTAGTAGCAGACTGAGAGCGTGTTTCGTGTTGAGTTTCCCCCGATGTATGGAGAATGTTTCTGGTTGGCCAACGTATATACAGCAAAATGTAAAGATTAACCCGATGGGCATGCCTTCCGAGTAACATGATGACGGCGTCGTGTCTTTAATGTCGTGCATCCTGATGCATGCATCCCCAAGAATCTTTTTGACTAAAAAAAATCGGTAATGCACCTGACATGTGTCCCATCGCGGTTATTAAATTGTTAATGTTCAGCCCTCGGTCGGAAGCTCCGACCTTGCTTTCCAATCCAACGTTAAGGCTTAGCACACATCGACCGTACAGTCTGGTTTACACAGCACAAAAGCCCGCCACGCATCCCTCCCTGAAAAGTAAAGTCTGTCAGGAGCCAATATGGCCCATCAGGCTGGCGTTTATCTCCGGTTTCCTTGGTATGAAACGATTTCGAATATTTTTATTCCCCCCTGGATGGGATGCTTGTCTATCGCGGGTTACTCCCAGCAAATGCCGGTACCAATTTATACTTCTGTGTGGAGAGATGCCAATGAAGGTTAAGTGGCTTGCCCAAAAACACAAAATATGGCCAAGCAGCAGGTTGCGAACCCTTGACCCTCTGATCATGAATCCACCAGGCCACACTCCGCCACCACTCTACATTGAAGTTCATAATCGCATTAAATCTATTCCATCGAAGCATGCAGTATTCTTCGGGAATGACCTTCCATTTCCCATTTTATACTTCATTTTGTGTCCTTCCTGTGGCATTAACATTACTGTTTGTCCGTAGTACTTTCGTCCTAAATATCAAAAACATGTATCTGGATTTTTTTTCATGCAAGCAATTTGAATAGAAGATTTCCCTGCGTATCCAACAGATCGAAAGGATTATGAATAAATTGTATTTGGAGAACATTATTTAGTTTCGTGAACAACTATCAAATCATAAGCATTACGGAACGGGCTCTTATTTGAAGAGTAAGTCGCCTTTCATGTTCTGTTAAAAAGCCATTAACGTAATGCATGTTTCCGCTACTTTGGTTTTCTTTCATGCTAGACTACCCTCAGCGATGCTCGGTTCATTGCCTATTTTCTTTTTCTACCTTGTTACAGGCTTGACATCGGTGATCATCCACTCGTTCCGGCAAGCCTCGCATATTTGTAACTCAATAAAGTCGGGTAGTCTCTGCTAGGCCTGCTCCAGTAAAACGGTAAGTAGTCATTACTTCATGTGGTAGCTCATGCGCGATCTATAGAGTCCTCTTCGTTGGACGCTTTCGAATCCTGAAGCTTTTTTGCGGACACAAAGTGTGTTTCGGTCTGGACGACCAGCATTGCTGCCTTTCGATTCCCTGAGTAAATCGACCGTATAATTACCTCACGTAAATGGATTCGAATCTATACTGAGCATGATTTTCCTATGACCTCAGTCTGAGGGTCTGAGGGAATCCCAAAATTAACCTGTAAGAAAACTGTTGACATTGACATTAATATAAACATTTTTTCAACCACAATCTCTTATTTTGGGTGATTTCTTTGAACTTGTTCTAGTCCTTATATATGACTTGAAGCTTTCACCCTCCTGAGGACGGACAGAGCACACTCTCCGAAACGTCGAGTTCTACACTCAACCAACCGATTCGTTTTAGAACCACACTTCTTCCAAGAAGAGATTTCTTCCCACATGGGTGTTACCCGCAATTTTGTCTATTTTTGTTCTAGTCCCCCATGTTGGGCAATCCTTGGCCTAATTTTTAGCCCAATTTACGGACACCACTTTTTGCCCTTGGTGGTTTTCTGGGCTAAGTGTCATGAGGTTATCATGTTCACATGATTTTCAATATATAGTTTTGCTTGGGTAACTGTGCAAGTAAGCAACTTTGTGAATTTAGAGCTTATCAGTACTGAGGTTTGGTGAGACTATACTTGATAATATCTGAGAAAAATGGTAAATGCGCGCAACTTTAGTGTATAATGGTAGCCATTTTGGAACTTTCACATAAATATATGTCACTTATATGTTGTACAAAATGTTATTTAAGTAAGGATAATGTAAGTATAATCCCCAATATACTTTTCAAAAAAAAAAAAACAATTAAAAATATGCCAAAATATGTGAATAAATATTTTACATGGCGGCTATTAACAATTTATGCTAATTAGGCACCCTTCCCAAGAGAATTTCAGGTGTCACTCCTTCTTAATATCTTCTTTAGGGCTATAAGAATCTATCTGACAAGTTTGGTGCTTTGGACCAGTCGGTCACGAACCACCCACAAGCCACCTGACTAATAAAGAAAAACGAGTAGGCCTAATGAAGGAACCCAAAGCAATATCTCAGCACGTGAATGAACGCAGTTGTCCACTTCATCACTTACCAAAAGGTGCAAACAACTTGAAATCAGATACACGGAATCTGAGGAGGATGGGACGTTTTCGTGTGGGTTGGGAATCGATACAATGTCGGGGAACAGACCCGAGAAGAACGGAATACGAATAATCGAAACCCAGGTGAGAGCGTGATTTATAATTATCCGCAACTCGACCCCGGCACTGGTGTATCGCGTGGACTGATCGATTCCAATCCAGTGTCATTAGCTCCCGCCTGCACCTTTTTTTTTGGCAGGGAGTTAATGATAGGCAGATACGGGTTCCTATTTCACGAGGACACATTACCGAGAGGTAGGGAGCACTGTCCACGGACGAACCACCCAGGCCACCGCGGGGATCTGCCCCGTACCCCTGGTCGAAACATGAAGTATTGTCAACGGATACTTGCATTCATTATGCGACCCGTACCGGCGCCCATCGGTGTATACTTACTCGTTAAAATTGCCAGCAACTTGGTTTGCCGTAAGTAAACCCCGGCCAGCGGGCTTGAATTTAACCGTCAATCCCCGCAGTAGGTAACAAATAAAGTGCCAGATTGACAACTGTACATCCTTTTGCGTCATTGCTTACGACATTAGCAATGGCAACTGTGAAATCAACTGCTAAAAATAATTACATTTACGCGCAATTTTATGAAATTTACTGTCGCAGTGGAAATTATTCTTTCCTTTTTTTTTTTTATAATTGACGCCAACGGATACAAATTTGCCAAATTTGAAATGTTATGTTGGAGGTAAAATGCCGTGCCGTTTGTTATGTCAGCATCACCTATTCGTACAAGGACGCTTTCAAAAGAATGAGGGGCCACACTGTAAAATAATCTAATTTCGTCAGTGACTCTATGGGACAAAGTAGCGAAAAAAATGGGCCGAGAAAAATAAAAAAAAAATAAGTTCATCTTACCCTCTTTGGCAGATGTTATTGCGTGGGGGAAGTCCTCACCATTTCAACCGAAGAAAACAGAAAGAGAAATACAGCAAAAAATATAACCTTATCTGATAGCTTTTCACCTGCTAACAATTTGATCTTTTGCCTTGTTGTCACTGTTAAAAGATGAACCCCATGTCCAGCGATATATCATTATGATTTACTTATCAGCCGTCGAAAAAAAATACCAAGAACAGGATGCCAAAAAAAAAAGGTTTCCAAACATTATTTTTTCATTTGATATAGTTTCATTGCAGTATGGCCTTGTTATTTTAGCAAAGAGGGGAGTTTATGTGGTATAATCAATGTTTATAAATTATTCAAACGTGAACTAATTTTGGCATGTACAAGTTAAATATTTACGACATTCCTTGAAACTAAAAGCTAGTTCGGTTTGTCATGAAAAAAAACGTGGAAATTAAACGGGAACAATCAATCTCACGTGGATTGTACGCCTATTCAATAATCGTTTAATGGCATTTGATTTTTGTTCCTATATGGATGTTTTGTTCAGTTATCACTGTACGGTCGAAACGATGAATAAAATCAGGCATGTACTATCACTCACCCGCATGAAAACACGCTTTTCATTCGATAACGAACGCTTGGTATGATTGATCGGCTTGACGTGACCTGTTTGCTTCATGACGAACTTGTATCTGGGTACATGCGCATGCGTGAGCTGAACGATTTCCCCCATTTTCGCCTCTTCTGCGGTGTGCTTGCGCACCGTTGATCACGGCAATTAGAACCTCTTGCACATTACGACGGTCAATGCAAAAAAACAACAACACACCACCTTGTCAACAGACTAAAGTGGCGCACCAACGCATCCTTTATACGCGATTCGAGTCATTTGCGATTATTTGCTTTCGAGTCAAAACAGAACTTGGGCTTGGCTCGACAAGACGAATCGACAGCAAATAGCAAAGGTGACCCTATGTTAGACATGCCCATTAACCACTCAATCCCACAGTTTCTCGCTTCTACCCCAAACCAGGTTTTTTTCCCCAAATTATTTATACAAACCCCTTGATTTGTTTTGGTTCCCCGTGCTTATCATCTCACGGGAGCCCTACATAAAACTGAAAGCCCGAACATTACCGATAACGTGCACACATTGGGCTGTGTGTTTGTAATGTGCAAACCGGATTTTTGGTCCCGCCAAAAAATGTTCATTTTATGACAAATTGATTCCCGTCGCACAGAGTTACGATAACATGGTCTCGGGGCGGGGAGAGCGGGCCGTACATAGCTCGTCAAATATTTGCAGACTCTAAGTGACGACGCTGGTTGAATAATTAAGGAGAGCTACGGGGCAGAAAAGACCGTCTTAGTTTTAGGGAGATAAGAATCCAAAGGAAAAGAACATCAGATTGCATCAAGGAAGCATATGCGGATTCGCGAAGTGAAGATCTCACAACACTGCAATAAGATTCGCATATGCCTAATGATTCGTCCATTCTTCATAGATCTCAACATTTTTTGAAATCTTTGAAAAATTTATTGTACGCTATATAGCTGCAAAGGACGGTATTCAAATTAACACTGTAGGGCCACTGGTCCATTGAAGGGATCTACAATAGGCCTAACACCGCGTATTTGTGCAGGAATTACGTTCGGGCGGTGAACATAATGTGTACGAGCTGTGAACATATGGAAATGTAAAAGAAATCTGGTTGGCCTTTTAAGGGCCCATGCAATATAATTTCTTTATGCAATCCTTGAAAATGCGCCTTTTCGTCTCATATAACCTTATTGCTAATTTTCGTTTTGCCTTTTTTAAGGGTACTTTGGTGCCTTTTTTGTTTATGCTAATGCAAATTTCCATATTCATGAGCAAAAGTGTGTTGTTATATCTGGCACAAACCTCATTTCAGCACCACAAGTTGCCAGAATTTGGGATATTAAGCCGTTGTAAATTTCTTTTCTTCGGTAGGTCGGTGCTGTGTCAGTACATGGCAGTAAACCAATGGGCAAATGTTTTCAATGAGCACATAATTTGGGTTCACAAGTTAAACACAAAACCCCCAAACTGAACAGTGTCTTCCTAAAATGACATCACAGCATCAGCGCCCTCAGTTGTCAAGAAAAGCACGGAAAATGTTGCATGTTTAATGAAGTGCCCTTTGCAATCAAATTAACCGAAAAGGGATGTCATATAGTTTTCATACATTTAAGAGTAGAAAATTGCAAAGAATATGCCCCTCAGTATAAATTAATTGCATGGTCCCTTTTTAATTTGTTCCTTATTTTGAAGGGGAAAAAACAAGCTTTTTAATCTTTTATGAACCCTATATACATGCCTAATAGACATATTACATCTGACGTCACATCTGATTAGGACCCTACAACTCTCTGTTCCTCTTCGTTGTTTATAATTTCATTATTACAGAATTTTAGATGGAAAAAACTTCCTCTCAGTTAAGGCGCACCTTGCAAGGGGTCTATAAAAATATCAATTTGAATTTTTTTCGCAAGATGAGGTTGTGCCTTGTCCCAAATTGAAACTTGCTACAGAACATCCCGTCTGCTGATATAACCATACGGAAACAGCACGGAATATTGACAAAACAAAAACCGACGCCGGTAAAATCATCATATATATTTCCCCTTGTCCACCCATCTCATTACAGATACATTCGCCTTACGCTGCATATGAATTATTCCAAGCGCACATAATCCTGGACAAAAATTGCAATAAGAAATGTTATACTCGATTTCCAGATATGCCTTCCGCGTGCAGTTTCAGGCATGTTGTGGCTTGCATGCAGTTCAGTTATGTAAACCTTATCAGCCATGCTAGCCGGATACAGAATAACGGACTTGATTAAATTAGTTTTGATTTCATTAACGTTGAGGACATACTTTCAAGAACATGTTTGAATGTTTT